CAATAGAATTTCCTCTAGAAAACCCAGTCATACAGTTAACCTACACCAATTGACATATTTCAGCTAACAGATGCTGCCCTGGTCTTGCTCACCAAGTTGTGCCAAGAAATCTGGAGAACAACCACTTGGCCAACTGACTGGAAGAGGTCTATATTTGTTCCTATCCCAAAGAAAGGTGACCCAACAGAGTGTGGAAACTATGGAACAATCTCACTGATTTCACATGTAAGCAAGATTTTACTGACGATTATCCAAAAACAACTGGAACAGCACATCAGCAGAGAACTGCCAGAAGTCCTGGCTGGGTTTAGAAGCGGTCGCGGTACTAGGGATATTGTAGCTGATGTTAGATGGATCTTAGCTAAAAGCAGAGAATACCAGAGGAATGTCTATCTGTATTTCATTGACTATACAAAGGCATTTGACTGTGTGGCTCATAACAAACTGTGGCTGACTCTGAGAAGAATGGGAATCCCAGAACATTTAATCGTGCTAATGCAAAACCTATACTTGGATCATCCTGTTGTCAGAACAGAGCAAGGGAACACTGCATGGTTCAAAATTGGGAAGGGCGTACGCCAGGGAGGCATCCTATCTCCATACCTTTTCAACCTATATGAAGAACAGATTATCCGGGAGGCTAGGCTCTATGAGGAGAAATGTGGGGTCAAGATTGGTGGACAATTTGTCAACAATCTGCGTTATGCAGATGACACAACCCTGCTTGCTGAAACTGAAGAGGACCTCATGCACTTGCTGCAGAGGGTCAAGGACTTCAGCCTACAATATGGATTGAGGCTCAATGTCAAGAAGACAAAAATTCCCACCAATGGACCAATTGGCAGCATCAAGATGGACAGTGAAGAGATTGAGATTGTACACAGCTTTAGTTTGCTTGGCTCCACAGTCAACAATCTTGGCACCAGCAGCCAGGAAATTAAAAGGCGCATTGCCATGGGAAAGTCTGCCATTAGGGACCTCTCCAAAGTACTGAAGAGCAATGGTGTCTCTCTGGAGACTAAGGTGCATCTGATACAGGCCATGGTCTTCACAATCACTTGTTATGCATCAGAGAGTTGGACAATGACCAAGGAGGATAGAAGGAGAATTGATGTCTTTGAGCTGTGGTGCTGGAGAAGAGTATTGAGAATACTATGGACTGCTAGGAAAACAGATTAACCCTGGAAAGGCTTAAACCGGGTGGCTCCTTGGAGGTAAGGAATCTGACTCTCCATCTAACATACTTTGGACATGTTGTGAGGAGAGACCAGTCCTTGGAGAAGGACATCACGCTTGAGAGGGCGGAGGGACGGCTCAGGAGGGGAAGACCCTCTATGAGGTGGATTGATTCAGTGACTGGGATAATCGGGATGGGAGTGTCAGAGACAGTGCGATTGGCACCGGACCGAGCAGAGTTTAGGGCTGTTGTACATAAGGTCGCTATGAGTCGCAAGCAACTCAACGGCACATAACAACAGCAACAACAAAAGAAATAAAAGATCATTAGCTCTAGAATCCCTGAATTTTAGAGTTAAAATTGCTGTTGTTGTTATGTGCCATCAAGTAGCCTGGGACTCATAACAGCCTAAGAAGACTAATCTGAGCCTTGCCCTATCTTGTTCCAAAACACTCAAGTCCTTCGTTACTGTCTCTGTGTCATCCTTCTTGGTGAGGGTCTTCTAAGGTTAGGAGGAGAAATCATAAGATCAGTCATCTTATTTTAGAAATGAGGTAACTGAAGTTGAGAAAAGTTGACTTACTCAGAGTCAGCTACTTTCCACACCCCTCCCATAAACTGGAGAACAATAAAAGGAGAAAAACAGTCATATTAGCAAAAATTTGCATAAAGAACCTTACATATAGAAGAGGGCTTACGAGAAAGAGAGAAACTGTAAGGCAGTGAAGTATGTGGACCCTGCAGCCAGCCCTTTGGATCTAATCATACTCTGTCATCTTCTATTATTGTATCCTTGGATACACAACTTCTCTTTATTATTCATGTTATATAACTGTATGGACTCCAAGTACTTGGGCAAAGAAATATAGCATCATGATAAAAATTATAATAAAATGAATAATTACAATATTTTTTTTCCCTTTCCAGGCAAACAAGCAGATTAAGTTACACTTTACATATGATTGGGGAAAACAGCTTCAAAGAGATAATGGCTAATCTAGGAGATGCATCTCTTCTTCTGATAAACAGACAGATCAAAGAAAGGACACTAAGAACTCCAAGGTCAAGCAACCAGTCCTACAGGCTAGAGAAAACTAACTATGGTTTTATAATTGATACCTACAGAGAGAATTCTGAACTTATTAATACCACCCTGTCAAGTGAAGTATAGACATTGTCCATCTCCTGTTTGACCTGTAACACAGGGATCCCAGACAAACCGACAGAGTTGAAGTGGGTTCAGATGAACCATCTGCCCCAGGATAGGAGCAAAGCTGACTAGGTTCTGAAGCTTTAAGGCTTGGTTCCCAGCTCTTGGACCCAATCAAGCCGAACGTTTTTGCAGGACATTCTCCATGACTGAGTAAGTTGTTGAGTTCCTCATGAATGTCAGCTTCCTATAGCAAAGCTGGGGCAGAACTTTCCCCTTCTCAATTCTCTTAATGAGAAAGTCCAGCAATTGATATCCAAGATGATCATTGAAACACAGATCTGTGACAAGTATCAGGACAGGAGGGCACGTCTGCTCCTCTCCTGAGTAGGGTTTTCTAAGGAGCTCTGAGAGTTCCAGGGCTCATTTGAAGTCTCCAAGTTCCTGAAAGCCTTGAAGAACTCTGGTTATAGGTAGAACACTTTCAGGTTGCATCCTCTCGGTGGAACTTTCATGTCAATAAGGACAGAGATCAAAGACTTCCACGATATCATCTAAGACAGCGTGGTGATCCTGTTGATCCTCCAACCAAGTCCTCAGAGGTGGGCAGAGGATGGGCCAGGCCCGCATCATGGCGTTCAAAACCACGCTGTTCCTGCTGGAGAGGACTTCTCTTATTAATGGATGGATGAGGCTCAGAGGCACAGACTGCAGAGCCTTGATGGCCCACACCTCATCTTTCATTAGCCTCTGCTTTGCCAGAGCAAAAAGGCTGGGTGGAGAGGAGCTGCTCATACTGAGGATTCTGTTCAGAACCCGTGCTCCTTAAAAAATATAGTCTTTTTAAGGTCAAGGTCCTCTGCTTCAAGGTTGTTGCCACAGAAGATCTGAGGATGGACAAGTCAGGATGCTGACTGAGCAAATCAAAGACAGGCAGGAATAGGGCAGGTTGATGTGTGACTTCAAAACCAATAATTGGAAATCAGGAATCAAGTAGGCAGCTGCATCCAGGTGGGCTCAAATGCCTACAGTCATTTTTAAAATCATCCAATGTGGTATCCAATTCCTAAACAACATGCTTCTGGAAATGCTATGAACTTTGAGAAATGACAATAATAATAGAAAGGCTTCAGGTCTCTTGTTCATAGGGTTGCTATAAGTCATGCTAGATTTGACAGCAATTCACAACAACAGCATACGTGTTCACAGTAATTCTATCACATAGGATGAGGATGATGATTATCACTTTACAGTTGAATAAATGGGAGCACCAAAAAGTGAAGAAAAGTTACCCTCGGTTTCCCAGCTATTAAGTAATAGAGTGAGATCTTATCCTATACCTTCAATCTTCTCAAGTTTTGGTATTTCCTGGATATGTCCATTCTACTCAGTCTTCCTCAAAATCCCATTATATCCTTTTGCTGAGATCTAGAACTAAGTTTTGACAGAGGCCACTCCGAGGAAATAAATGTGAACAGATTTCCACAGGATAAAAGTCATACTCAAATACAAACAAGTCAAAATAAATGGAGATGAACATGTTACAAAAAAAAAAAAAAGAATGAGGAACCAACAAATATTAAAACATACTTCTTTTTTTAGTTGGTCCAGCATTTGAGAACCTCACCACAAGCAAAGAAGAAGCAAGAGAGTGCAGTGTGTCTTTCAGGGCCAGAGATTCTTGCACCAACCAGACCAAGCCTATGGGAGCAACAGCCATAGCAAGCACAGCAGAGAAGCAGAGACTTAACATGGGATGAAGTGGACGGTGGGAAAGCCACACACAAGGAACCGGAGCTAAGAGCCTTTGCCCAAGTTCATGTACTGCTGCTCACAAGAAATGCCAGGGGAAAGGTCCTAGTGAGACTGTTAGGAAAAACAACTCATCACATAGATGGATCCGTGCTAGTACTTCATCATCAGAAAACCCAAACCAAACAAAAACTTAAGAAGGAATGTGATATGTAGGAATTTGTCAGGCACTAAATTATTTTGAAGTTTCCAGCTTCTATACTTTCATCAAATGTGGCTTTTGGCTTTATGTGCACATTGATATTCTGAGGCCCAGGGGAATAAATATAATATTTTCACAAAGTAATGAGAATGGGGGAGAGGAGCCTTTCACATTTGGAGCAAACCAAAGAAAAGAAAAATCAGACTCAGAACCAAAAATAATATAAAATAAAATATACTGCTTTTTTTAAACAATTTGTGATGAAAGCATTAGACATTTCACTAAAGCTATAGGTCAGAATGAAAGATATTGTCTAGATTAATAACTGCAGCCCTGGTAGCATGATGAGCAAGGAGTTGCACTGCTAGTAAAAAGCCTAGTGGTTCAAATCTATCATCAGAGAAATATGGGTAATCTCTTCCATTGTAATGTATAAACCTACAGGAGGTTTAGTTGAGAGTTGGTTCCAACTTGATAGCAATAAGTGAGACAGTAAATTGTAGAAGAGGGAGTTCTGGTGGCCTAATCTATAAGGAATTGCATTGATGACCTATGGGCCATACCCTTTTGGAGTGGGGAGTGTCAAATCTAACAGTGATAGATTTTGAAAAGATAATTTCCTCTCATGTAGTTTATAACTTCAAAAACCCATGGAGGGTCAGCTATGAGTTGATTCTGACTTGTTAGCAAAGAGAATGAATTAATTGTGGAAGACTTACTTAGTTTATTAATGTTAGGCATTAACGTATGCCATGTTTGCAAATACTCAGCTCTAAATCCATCCATTGAAAACAAGATGACTGGTGGCAAGTCAAACCTGAAAATGGAAAACAAAAGTTAGTCATTACTCCAAGGGTAAAAGAGAGGAAGACCCTCAACCAGAAGGACTGATGCAGTGACTGCTGCAATAAACTCTATTATGTGTGAAATGATGAGGATGTCACGGCATAGGACAAGATTCCTATCTGTTGTTCCCCGATTAGCTATAAATTGTACTCAACTCGACAGCACTTAACAATAATAACATTAAAATTAGAAAAGTGCTGTCTTGACTTTGAACACAGAATAGTTTTGCCCATTTTTGTGCTTCTATTTATATACATGTAGCACCATAGAGCATGTATTATTTTGCTCCTGACTTCTTTCATTCAACATTAATTGGAGATTCCATTCACCTGTTGTTGTATCTAGTTATGAATGAATGGGCTACAATTTATATTTTTTGTTAATGATTATCTGGGAATTTTTGTAGTTTAGAGATATTATGAATAACAACTATCAAAATGGTTATTTTTAAAAAAAATACAAAAAGGGTGCACGTTAGTCTGCATATGAAAGTTTCAATTTTGTGCTCAAATAATTTTGTGTCTGACTTTTTTCTTGCCCAGAAATATAAAAAAAATATAAGAATTTGGATAGAACAGGTCATCAAAAGTTTGCCAAACTACCAAATGAGATTTCAGAGAAAATTCTGAATGCTGATGTCAGCTAAAAAAAACCCCAAATTCAATAATTTTCCAAAATGTTTACATAAACTTAGAAAAAAATAACATTGTGACATCTACTTACACACTATAAAAGTGTGAGGAGAACCTAGAGCTCTATTAGGCTTGCTAGAAGAAGCAGTTACTATAAATCACTTAGGGAATATATAAGTCATGTATCATGCTGAATGTTGAAAACAAAGGTATTAAAGGTTTAAGTGCTCTTGTGAAGAAGGAAATTGAGAAGTAAACAGGAATTGTTCAGAACTAAATTTGAGTACAAAGGTTATTAAAGTACACAGGATAGTAGGCTGTCCACAGCATCAGATATTTTAGTAAAGTCCTACAGGGGAAATAGAAATAATATTAAAGGAGAGTTAAACCAATATTTCAATGAAGAAAAATACACAAAACCATGGATTATAAACAGAAATATTCCCAAATCTAAAAGCAATGGGCTAAACAATAGAGGCTACATACAAAAGAATTAAGTTGTAGAATTCTATTTATAGGAGATATATAGAGCATGAATCCATGGTGATCAATAATAGAACTGTGAGAGTTTCTGGAAATGGGTGGGATGCATGGGAAATACCTTTTTAAGGTGATTTAAATGTACTACATCTTATTAATGGTGTGGGTTACATGTATGCATCCATTTCTAAACTTTGTCAAACCCTGTATGTAAGATTTATGTATATTTCAAAATATAAACTCATCTCAATTTATTTAAAATAAAAATTTTAAATGTCTTAACTATAATCTGTAAGAAGTTCATTTAAAAACATTAACTCACCTGTACAGTTTACAAGGAATTTTTTTCCAAAAAACCTTAGGTAACATGGCATATTTCAGATGAAAACGTTTATATTCACAAACATGCCACAGAAAGCTCAAATATCTATGAAATCAAGAATAGGATCCAATCTGTCTTGAAAACCTTATGTTTCATTAAATAAATTGCTCACAAAGGAACAAATATCATATGGTCTGACTTATATGAAATATCTATAATATGCAGATATAGAGAGACCAGAGTTATTAATGGTTAATGTGGAAGCAGTGACATCTGAGTGAGCCCTGAATTTCTATTAAAAGTAATGCAAGTTTCAAAATGGATAGTGGTGATATTGTGCAATATCATGAAGTTAATGTCATTAAATTGCACACATAAAAATTAAAATGGCAAATTTTGTTTTATGTATTTATTGTATTGTTATGTGCCATAGAGTCACCTGCAATTCATAGTGACTGTATTTACAACAGCCCTAAACCCTGCTCTATCCTGTGCCAATCTTATTGTCTCTGACACACCTACCCCTATTACCCCAGTCACTGAATCAACCACCTCATCAAGGTTCTTCCTCTCTTCCATGCTGTCCGTCCATCCTCCCAAGCATGTCGTGCCTCTCTAAGGACTGGTCCCTCCTTGCAACATGTCCAAATTAGGTCAGATTAAGTCCCAGAATCCTTGCCTCCAAGGAACAGCCTCATTTCACTCTCTCTAGGATGAACCTGTTTGTCCTCTTAGCAGTCCATACTACAATAAAAACCTTTTCATTAAAATATAAGGTGTGAAATCCAAATTTCCAGGATATTTCTTTGTTAATGGCCTCCCTGGCCCTCCAGTCCAACTACTCCAGAATGATCACAGTGCATCTCAAAAGAGAAATTATAAAACAGTGCTACCACAAACATTCCAATAATGAAAACATTTATAATTATTTCCTCAAAATATAATTCTAAAAGTGAAATTTCCTTGTTGAAGGATTGATGTTGTGTACAGTCAGAACCCACTCAAAGCTGTCTTGAAATGTAAAAAAGAGGAGGGAATTCTGCCCAATTTTTGGATCACGTTCTCATGGGCCTATTGTTCCAGGAGGATAAAAAACCGCATCCCGTTCTCACCCTTCTGGACACTGAGACTGCTCAGCTGTGCTGCATTCTTCTGTCACCCAAGGAGTTTCTCCTGAAATGCAGAAGATCAGAATCTTTAGACTGTTGCACCACAGACACGAAAAGGGAAGCAAGTGTCCCACACATTGTCTCCAACCACTTGTTTCAGGTCACTCCACATATAATCTTGTTCCAGAACATATTTAATGGGCTATTTCACATGAACATTACATTCTAGATAAAATGATATCAACTCTAAGATGTACTTCATAGTCTTACAAAATAGGATGAGAAAGGAGGTTGGGGGGAGTTTTTCTTTTACTTTTCAAAGGAGAAGAATGAATTGGGGGAGGGGGTGAGCGGGGAGAAAAGGGCAACAATGAATGACTGGAAACCCTAGGTCTCTGTAAACTTACATTAAAATTAATAAAAAAAGAGAAAAGGAGTAAATTTAACTTTAAAATAATAAGTTAAAAACTTAAAAGTAGGCAAAAGGATAACAAAACACTAAGCATGCCATGCCTGGAGTTGTCTAAAAGGGCCAGCTGTGAATTACAGAGGCCACCAGCTGCTCCATGGGAGAAGGATGGGCAATCTCCTCCCGTGCAATTAAGTGCCTCTGAAAACCCGACGGAGAGCCAGCTATGGGTCAGCTCCAGCTGTATGGTACACAACAACAACAACAAGAGGAATTGTCTAGTTACTTAGGCAATTTTATATTTTAAGCTGTTGAATCTTCAGAATGAGAAAAATATTTATTTATTTAAAAATAAGCTGAAATGGTCATAAAAAGCACAATGTGAGTGAAATATTTGTGAAACATGACGTAGATAAATTGAACACCACACATACAAATTTTGTATGAAAAGCCAAAATGAAATTTGAAAAATAAGCTGAAATGGTTGAATTAATCAAGGATGCTTTAGGCAGAATATTAAATTATTCAGGAGGTATTAAAATAAGATGGAAGGAATATATTGAGTCATTGTATCAGAAGGAATTGGCATATACAGAAGAATTTAATGAAATAACATTTGTGCAAGAGCCTGTGGTGATGAAGGAAGAAGTTCAAGCTGCTTTGAAGGAAAAAGCAAAAAATAAGGCCCCCGGAAGAGATGGTACACCAATTGACATATTTCAGCTAACAGATGCTGCCCTGGATGTGCTCACCAAGCTGTGCCAAGAAATCTGGAGAACAACCACTTGGCCAACTGACTGGAAGAGATCTGTATTTGTTCCCATTCCAAAGAAGGGTGACCCAACTGAGTGCAGAAACTACAGAACAATATCATTGATTTCACATGCAAGCAAGATTCTACTGAAGATTATCCAAAAACGACTGGAACAGTACATCAGCAGAGAACTGCCAGAAGTCCAGGCTGGGTTTAGAAGGGGTCGTGGTACTAGGGATATTGTAGCTGATATTAGATGGATCTTAGCTGAAAGCAGGGAATACCAGAAGAATGTCTATCTGTGTCTCATTGATTATGCAAAGGCGTTTTACTGTGGATCATAACAAACTGTGGCTGACTCTGAGAAGAATGGGAATCCCAGAACATTTAATCGTGCTAATGCGAAATCTCTACTTGGACCAAGAGGCAGTAGTCAGAACAGAGCAGAGTAACACTGACTGGTTCAAAATTGGGAAGGGTGTATGCCAGAGATGTGTCCTATCCCCATACCTTTTCAACCTGTATGCAGAGCAGATTATCCGAGAGGCTGGGCTCTATGAGGAGAAGTATGGCATCAGGATTGGTGGAAGATTTATTAACAATCTGCATTATGCAGATGACACAGCCCTGCTTACCAAAACTGAGGAGGACCTCATGCACTTGCTGCAGAGGGTCAAGGACTTCAGTCTTCAGTATGGACTGAGGCTCAATGTCAAGAAGACAAAGATTCTCACCACTGGACCAATCAGTAGCATCAGGATGGATGGCAAAGAGATAGAGATTGTTCATAGCTTCAGTTTGCTTGGCTCCACGTTCAACACTCTTGGCACCAGCAGCCAGGAAATCAAAAAACGTATTGTGGTGGGAAAGTCTGCTGTTAGGGACCTCTCTAAAGTACTCAAGAGCAACGGTGTGTCTCTGGAGACTAAGGTGCGCCTGATACAAGCCATAGTCTTTTCAATCACTTGTTATGCATCAGAGAGTTGGACAATGACTAGGGAGGATAGAAGGAGAATTGATGCCTTTGATCTGTGGTGCTGGAGAAGAGTACTGAGAATACCATGGACTGCCAAGAAAACAAACAGATTCATCCTGGAGAGGGTTAAACCAGGCTACTTCTTGGAGTCAAGGATTTTGAGGCTTCGTCTGACATACTTTGGACATGCTGTAAGGAGAGACAGGTCCTTGGAGAGGGACATTATGCTTGGTAGGGTTGAGGGACAGCGCAGGAGGGGAAAACCCTCTATGAGGTGGATTGATTCAGTGACTGGGGTAATCGGGATGGGTGTGTCAGAGGCAAAGCAATTGGCACAGGATAGAGCAGGGTTTAGGGCTGTTGGACATAGGGTTGCTATGAGTCGCAAACGACTCGACGGCACATAACAACAACAACAACAACCACTGGGCCAACAGGCAGTGTCATGATGGATGGAGATGAGGTTGAAACTGTCAACAGCTTTATCTTGCTTGGATCCACAATTAACACCTTTGGTATCAACAGTCAGGAAATAAGGAGCTGCATTGCATTGGAAAACCTGCAGTTATTGATATACTCCAAATTATTGAGGAGTAGTGATGTCAGTTTGAGGACAAAGGTGCTTTTGATTCAGGACCTTCTGATTACAAGCTATGCATCTGAGACCTGGACAATGAATAAGGATGACAGAAAAAGAACTGATGCCTTTGAGCTGTAGTGTTGGAGACGAACGCTGAACATCCCATGATGGCTAAGAGAATGAATAGATATGTTTTGCAGAGGGTACAGCCAGAGTGCTCTTTGGAGGCAAGAATGATGAGGCTTTGCCTAACATACTTTGGACATATTACTAGGAGGTGCTATTCCTTGGAACGGGTCATGATGTTGGGAATGGTGGAGGGTCAGCGAAGGAGAGGAAGACCCTCAACCAGGTGGATTGACAAGGTGACTGCTGCAATGGGCTCTTGTGTGTCAGGAAGTGTGAGGATGGACCAGGATGGGACAGGGTTCAGATCTAGGGTAGCTATGATTTATACTCGACTCAATGACACCTAACAATAACTAACCAATTAGTGTTAATGGTAAACTCCAGGACTGCTTGTTAGTAATTATTTTCTTTCTGTTAAGTTGTAGCAGTACTGTGCAGTGAATTCAGTGAGCAAGTTCACCATGTGAACTGATGTTCAATTTGGAGAAAAAATTGGGAGCTATAAAACTTGAATTGCAGGCAAGGAAGACAGGTAAGTGGTAAGAAGGTCAATGAGTTAACTAGAAAGAAGCAAATTGGAAATCTCATTGGCCTTTGTGAATTGAGAGGAAATTTTTAATGACACAATGTTGTTGTAAAGATTCAAAACAACAGATCCGAACCCTGTCCAATCCTGTGCCATCCTCATCATTTCTGTTCTTTATTAAATATTCCAGCTACAGTTTTAATCTCTTCTCTTTTTGGCATTTCTTTTCAGCTAATTTACCCTTACACCGTGTGTGTGTGTGTGTGTGTGTGTGTGTGTGTGTGTGTGTGTGAAATCAGATCTTAATGTCACAGGAGGAGATTGCCCCTCCTTCTCTAGTGGAGCATCTGTTGGACTCAATCAGTTACATCTTGAATAAAAAAAATGATTCATCCATTACTGAAAAAATTGCCTAAACATTATAGCTACTAATGTTTCTTTTTTTTTTTAACTAAAAAAAATACTTCATTTTATCCTGAATAATGTTTCTACTATAACATTTGCCTCCTATTTGAGAACTCAGAATTCAACTTAATCTAGGTTTTGTCTGAAAAATGTTAAAAAGTATAAGTTAGTCAATTGAGTGTGGTTTTATGCAAAGGGAGTGACAGTTTCAAGCAATTTTTATACGTGTATTTTCCATACATTTTATCAGATCTCCTGAGGGGTCAGTGACTTAAAAAAAAAACCAAACCAAAACAACAAACAGAACAAAAAAGGAACCCACAAAAAAACCCCAACCCAAACCCTACAGCACTTACAAAGTTGCTCAAACAGATTCAGTGGGGATTTTAATTCTGATTCTACATTAATACTCTAAAGATACTGCATTAGTCATTTAAACATCAGAACACAGCTGTCAACAGTAACGTCATCATCCTCTATTTTCTAGTCAATTCTGATTCATAATAACCCTTTGTGTGGTTTTCAGGGTTGTAAATGTTAACAGGAAGAAGATAGCCATCTTTCCCTCAAAAAAAGGAGCTGGAACTTTGTCCTGTGGTCAGCAGTACTAAACATTAAACATTATCCAATCAGAGCTCTTTTGAAACAACATTGGTATAACAGATAAACTTAGTGGTCAAAATAACCTCTTTGATGTTTCAATTTCAGTATCTGCCTTCCAGTGTCTCAAGCCACAAGTATACTACCATAGTCACTTGAGTGAAAAGACTATGCCTTACTGATACATTTAAAGCTTTAAGAATCATCTTTTTTTAATATTTTATCTTTCACATACATTTTGTTTCACACATGTGCACAGTGTTTTTTATATAGTCTTTCATTTACATTATATTTCATTAATTGATATTGTGAGTTTTTTCTCCCCTTACAATCATCTCACTAATAACCAGTGAAAACGAGTAAGCCAGCTACTACATGCCTCATGCTTTTAAAATCCTGCTTTTAGATAGACAATTTCTGATTTGCCCATCCCTATCAAACCAGTGCTCTGGGGGAACAAGCATGGCCCTTCTCCTGAAGGATCCTTTTCTTCAAGTTGGATACTTTGGGCATCTGCATCCACAAGCAAAGTCTAGTCCAGAACAAGCCATTTGGCTGCAGCAACGGACCAGACCGTAGCTCACAGAATGGATCATCTCTGCATCTGGTTGGGCTCTGGTCAACTCATCCCTTGCTATCCTGGCTAGGTTCAAATGGGCATCAGCTGCAAGCTCAGGAGCCCACACTTCCTCTTGCATTCCAGACCTCTTGAGCTCCTCAGCTGAAATATGGAGCTTTAAACTTCATCTTCATTTTGTATTTATTCTATATACTTCCTTCACATAAACCCCTTTCTTTCCACAGAAAACTCATTTCACCCTTTTCTTCTATATGGAGCAGCTTAACAATTTCTGGTTGCTTTCATTTCTGCAGCCTTGGCCAGCTGTGGGTCACTGCACTGACAGGGATAAGTGGGTTGTCAGTCTCCTTTTGCTTACCTTGACAAACACTCTTATAATCCACACAGCAGTCTTTCCTCTGCAAACAGTCATCTGAGCAAGAACAAAGGCTAGATTCTAGCCTGGTCTCCCCACAGCGAAATTTATTGCAGGTCCATATTTGAGCTGTGAAATATAACAAGTCAGTCTCAGTACTTAATTTCTTTAGATAATTGAGATAGAAAACAGAAATTTAATGTCGTTTCCCTCTACTATTATCATACTGTCAAACACTTGGTTTTATTTGCATTCATAAAGGAAAACTCAATACAAAAGGAGGCACAATCCATCGCATTTCTTCGTTAGCATGGATGGCAGAGAGAAATGCAGTCTTACTAACTGGAGGGTCTGGTCTACCAGCTGGTATGCCTGAGTCTGGAGGAGCTCTTAACACTAATCTAATTCCCAGAGTCAATACTCACAGTGTAATTTTACTTCTCCTAGGAGTTCCCAGAGTCAAAGAATCACCAGATCAGATTGATGACTGGTATCTGTGGAGCTGCTTTATCCAACCTGATCTAAGCACAGATATCAAGGAAGAGACAGTAACAACTTACTACAAGAAGTAGTAAGTGCACAGTCAGATGTGTGAGAATGGTAATCACTCAATGGAGTGCTATCCAACACTAAAATGCATATAGAGACCCACTAATCACTGCAGAGCAGGCATGTGTCAAGGGGACATTATGCCAAATGGCCTAAGGCAGTCACAAAAGGACAGTTACCATTTAAGACCACTGCTGTAAAAAGCTCAGAAAAGGTTTACACAGGGCTGAAATAATTTTTTTTTTATTTTTTACCAGGGTTGCGAAGAAAGGGAGAGGGGATCAAAATCAGTATGTAGATAAAACAGAGCATTTATTACAATATGTGAAAGAAAAGACAATATCCAATGAAGGGATAATCAGCTTAATATCATTTAAGAAATACAAGAAATAGAGAGAAATGGGGTTCCACCCCTCACTCTGGGGAGGCAGCCTGGGACGGGCCAGGCAGCTGTGGTGGCTCTTGTCGCTTCCTCACCCTCGCAACCGACATCATGCTCCAGTTTCTGCTTGGATTTACTTTTGGAAACATCTTTGGAATGTTATCTGGCTCAGAACTAAGAGATACCAAATCTGGCCAAAAAGCTTGAGGACATTAAGGAGGACTTGGATGCCAAGAAGAAGCCACCTAGCTCGTGAGGTCCCCTGCCGCATGCCCCCAGGAACCCCATGGGTCAGCCCTCCCCGAGAGCCTCCTCACCCTCGAACCAGTGGCGAGTGGTCATCGCTGCCTTGGTGAGGTTCCTCTTTGATGGATCCTGAATTGCCTTAGAACAGAAATGGAGCTCCGATGAAGAGCTCTGCTACCTCCCTACATGCTCTCTCCCCACCCTTGTTACAGCTGGTGGGAGAGGCCAAGAATGGATTATGGTGCTAGATAGTAAACATAAGCTTCAACTTGTCTCCTTTTAGTTCCTTGGATTTCTACTACCTTCCCAGAAGAAAACTTGAGTGTGTATTCTTGATCCTATACAAAGAATGCTATTTTCACAAGTGAGAGCAATTATACTAGGTCCTTAGTAACCTTTGACAATAAACAGTGCTCCAAAATAATTAAAAATTAATATACGGGGATAAGAAATAGAGGGATATATAGAAAAGAATAAACAGAAATTAGAATTTTTACAGAGAGAAAGTGGAGAAGTAAAATTACACTGTGAGTATTGACATTAATGTTATTGATTATGGTTTTTAAACTTTCACATTAATCTAACGAGATAATATAAGCAGGTTAAGGCAACTCATATGGCAGTGACTGAAGGGGTAGAACAATTCCCAGCCACACCTCAGGTCTTCTGTGAGACAACGTAGTTGACAGGAGATTAGTTTAAATCAATCTCAGTGGTTGAAATAAAGAAATAAAGGCAATAGGCTGCTTCCTGCCACTATCTGTTAGCAAATTGATTTGAGTCAGCACAAGTCCTGAATACAGACAGTATGTTAAAAAGAGTACATTAAAGCTATATTTTAGAATTGTGAATACAGCTCTGTATCCCACATTATTTACTGTTAACTTAGAAAGAAAGGATCTTTTTCAGTGAGAAAAATCTGTATTTAGAATTAGCCAGCTGGACTCAGTTTAGATGATCCCAATTTTGTTGGCAACATCCAAAGCATCATAGTCAGGTGCAAGTTGAACATAGGCCTTCTTCTCTCCATCAGGCCTAATCAGTGTTGACCTTAGCCACATCATTGTCATAGAGCTTTTTTACAACTTGTTTAATTTGGTGCTTGTTGGCCTTGACATCCACAATGAACACAAGTGTGCTGTTATCTTCTATCTTCATGGCTGACTCAGTGGTCAGGGGAAATTTGATGATGGCATAGTGGTCAAGCTTGTTTCTCCTGTGGGCACTGTTCCAGTGGTATTTAGGCTGCCTTCAGAGTCTCAGTGTCTTAGGCCGCCAGAAGGTGGGTGACGTGTGGATCTTTTTTTGTATGGCTGTGGATGCCCTTCAGGACTGCCTTCTTGGCTTTTAATGCCTTTGCTTTGGCTTCAGTTTTGGGAGGGGCAGGGACTTCCTTTTTCACTTCTGGCGCCATCTTCGTAGAAAGGGGAAGAAAAAATTTTTGAAGACCAAGTCAAGCGAATGCAAATCTTTACTCATACTAAGCCGTCCTTTGCTTTTTCAGAAACTGTAACAGCAGTCTCTCTACTATTCTAACCTTCACTCTCTGTCAACCTTTCTCCTTGGTTTCTCTTCCACTTAGAGGACAGCATTCCTTCACTTGTGATCCATGGAACACTGGCATCAGAAGCCCTGGGAATAACTAGCTTCACAAGTGAGTGTTATGCAACCTGAAGTTGAGAACCCCTAAAGATGAAAACTAAACACGTTTAACTTTAACCCATAGTAGAAGTCCTGTGAAAGGGTTGCAATCATCAATCAGTCTATGTGCTGTGAACAGCTATCCCTCAACTTCAGATAAGCAGAGAGCTCTTTGTCTGCAGGACGACCAGGGTGAACACTTGGATACACACTCTGCTAGCACAATCAACATGCTAATGAACAGCTCAGAATTCTTACTTGATTTCACACAGGTGTCTTCAAAATCCCAGCAGCAGTCACGTCGCTCTTTGCAGGCCACGTCACATCGGCAGCCCTCCAGTCCTCTAAATGATGAATCAAAGCATTTCTTCCTGCAGCTGCCTGTGAAATGAAAGAAATAAAGACGTCAAAACTCAGGAGATTTCCAATATCTCATGCATGACTTACAGAAGCACACAGAAATACCGAGCATAGACCGGGACAAGCAAATAGATTCATTTCATGGTGGTGTGGGATTGGTCAGTGACTGATGAGTACAAGAGTACGTGGGAGCACATGGTGGTGCGGTGGGACCTAAACCCGCAGGAAGGTGTGGAGGATGCCCAGGGGACAAGGGAGAGATACCAGAATTATTTAAAACAGAGAAACTAAGGAAAACAAATTTGGAAAGGAACAGATAGGTCATGATAATATAAAGCAGATTGTTATTGTTGTTGTTATGTACCTTCGAGTCACTTGCCACTCACAGAAACCTTTTGTACAATAGCTCCGAACTCCGCTCTATCCTGAGCCAACCTTACTGTCCCCAACACACCTACCCCCATTACCCTAGTAACCGAGTTAATCTATTTTACTAACCATGTTAGTCTCCCCCTCCTGCGCTGTCCCTCCATCTTCCCAAACGTAATGTCCCTCTCTAAGGACTGGTCCCTCCTTGTAACATGTCCAAAGTATGTCAGACGGAGCCTCAGAATCCTTGCCTTCCAGGAACAGCCTAGTCTCACCCTCTCCAAGATGAACCTGTTTGTTCGCCTAGCAGTCCGTGGTATATTCAATACTCTTCTCCAGCACCTCAGCTCAAAGGCATCAATTCTCTTTCTATCATCCCTAGTCATTGTCCAGCTTTCTGATGTATAGCATGTAGTTGCAAAGACCATGGCCTGGATCAGGTGCATTTTAGCCTCCAGACTGACGTCACTGCTCTTTAGTACTCTAGAGAGATCCCTGACAGCAGACATTCCCAATGCAATTCGTCTTTTGATTTCCTGGCTGCTGGTACGAAGAGTGTTGACTGTGGAGCCAAGTAAACTTGCCTTGTTAGTGAGCAGAAATGTGCCTTCCTGTGCTATACTAACAAACTTGAAATCTACTCTTTGGTAATGGGAAGCCATCAAGGTTAAGTAAACAAGTAATTAGATATATATTTTAGAGGTCCTCTTTGGAAAACAGGTTCTGAAGGAGCAACTCTTGGACCAAGAAGTAGAAACTCTTGGGCCAATAAATTGAGGGGATTGCAGGCACACAGCTGAACACAGGCAAGTCTTATATTTCACATTCACTTCCAGACCATGACAATAAATGAGGCAATAAAGTGAGTCACATGCCTTTCTGAGTTATCAGCACATATGAAAATTAGGTTTATCTTATACTGTTGTATACTAATTGTGTAACAGTATTATTAAAAGTTTGAATATTCAGAAAATCACCAAAACATGGCACAGAGAAAAGAAGTGAGAACATATTGTTGTTGTTATGTGCCACCGAGCCACCTGTGACTCATAGCAACCCTACGTACAAAAGCCCTAAACCCTGCTCTATCCCTTGCCAATCTTACTGTCCCTAACACACCTATCCCCATTACCTAGGCACTGAATCAATCCACATCACCGAGGGACTTCCTCCTCTCTTGTGCTGTCCCTCCACCCTCCCAAACATGATGTCCCTCTCCAAGGACTGGTCCCTCCTTGCAACATGTCCAAAGTATGCTATTGAAAAGAAAAAAAAAATTACCCCTGTAGACTGATCTGGCACAAAGTTGGGGGTGTAGTGGGGGGATGTACCATCTGTAAACAAATGTAAACTATGCAGAGAAGTATGATATATGGTACAACCTTAGTGACCTTGGGGAAATGCAAATAATAACATGTATTCTGCTGTTCAAAATCTGTAATTACTTCCCATCTCCAAATTATTTGGCCTATTGCTACTTGCTATTATACACTGCAAAGTCCGTTCCAACCCCTAGATACCTTACTGTAGAACTGAGTAGAAGAGTCCCAGAGGGTTTCCTGGGCTTTAATGCACACAAGAATTGACCACCATATCTTCTCTCATACACAATGGCTAGTGGATTTGAAGTGCTGACAGGGATTTATACAATAAAACAACTAAGAAATAATGTCCACTGGTGTGGAGTAAGATAATACTACCAAATAGCCTGGCAACATTTGCTATGTCCAAGTCTGACATATGAGTTTAGAAATAGTAACTAATAGAACACAGTAATTATCCAGTTTCATATTTATTTTCCTTTGGTGCTTAGTTGTATTTCTGGGTTGTACACATTCACATTCACTGCTCTCACACCTGAGTCTCTGGCAAGTTTGCAGAGGCTATAAATCGCATGGGAGAAAATTGTCTATCTTTCTCCCATGGAGCCATTGGTGGATTCGAACTGCCAGCGAGGCACTGCCTTTGGGTTAGGAGAGCAACTCCCTACAGCCTAAACCACCAGAGTCTCCTCCAGGTTGTACTAGGGTAACTAAACATTTATTAATTCTTAAGAGAAAGCATGACTGGAAAATTGTCAGACCAAGAGATTTCCTAAACTAGAGGTAAAAATTACTCCTTCAAAGTCAAATTATAAGTGATGAATAAAATGGATAAAAAATGAGTTATTGAATAGAAAATAGTATATGTCTCTTCATAAAAATATCAAGTCAACACATTGAAAGTGTTTTCCATGTGGTTGTTGGGAGCTATCAAGTCCCTTATAATTCATAACAATGCTACAGAACAGAGTAGAACTGGTCCCATAAAGGTTGTCTAGTCCCTAATCTTTACTGAAGATTATGTAGCTGGAGTTTTTTTTTTCTCCAGCAGTAGGTTTTCTCCACTGGTAGGCTTGGACTGTTAGTTAACAGCTGAGTACTTGACCACATTGTAACAGGCTTCTTCATTTTTTTTTCTTATTGTTGTGGTTGTTATTTGGCGCCATCAAGTCTGCTACAACTCATAGCAGCCCTGCAAAAAACCCCAGATCTGACATTGTCCTATCCTAAACCATCCTTACTGTCTCTGATATGCTTACACCCATTGTCACAATCATTGTGTAGATTCACCTGGACGAGAGTCTTCCTCTCCTTCTCTGGCCCTCGACATTCCCCAGTATGATGTCCTCGTCTAAGAACTGGTCACTCCTGGCAATATGCCCATTGTATGTGAGATAGAGTTTCAACGTCCTCCCCTCGAGGAGCACCTTGCACTTCACCCATGACTGACTTGTTTGTCCTTTTTGTGGTCCATGGGATGTTCACTACTCTTCTCCAACACCATAATTCAAAGGCGTCAATTCTTCTGTCACCTTTATTCATTGTCCAACTTTCACACGTATCAGAGGCACCTGAAAATATCATGTCTTGGATCAACTGCACCTTATTCTTTAAACTGACGTGATTGCTCTTTAGCATTGATGAAGATGATCTTGACAGTCAATTTTCCCCATGCAAAATGTCTTTTGATTTCTTTTGACATTCTAACAATACATTTTATTTCATCTAGCACATTGAAAACATTATCATTTCAACATGTCAACATTCTTAAAAGGCAGTGAAACACGCCACCCTCCTTTTCTGTTGGACCCTTGAGCCTGAAAAGTGTGGGAGCCGTAGCCTGTCTCGGCTCAGAGCAGGTCATCTCAGCTTGGGGGATGGTGTCTGGAAAGCATAGCTCTGGAGATGGAAGGACACCTGGCAAAGAACCAAGAAAGCCCAGGGACTTAAACAAGGGCAGCAGGCAGTGCCTGAGGGGCAGAGGGAACGCCCAGGGAGAGTGCAGGTGGCTGGATGGGTCCACCTCTGCATCGCTGGGGTTCAGCTGACACCTTGAGGAGGCAGAAGAGTTATAGGGGAAGCAGAGGTAGGAGAGGGCACACTGGGCAGGGGGGAACCTTGCTGACCATGAGTCATACCCCTGGGTGGCCTCAGCCATCTGAATTGGCTCTAGTTGGCGCAGACCTCTCTCAGAGGAGAAAGACCCAGGAGTGGGGTATTTAGCTTATGCATGGCACTCTGGCCTCACCCTTTAGGGGGACAAGACTGGACTGTGTTGACAGTGATGATTCCAAGGTGTTTGTTGCTATGAACAATTGAGTCACAACTAGCTGCCTAAATCACACAGGAGATTACCCATCTCCTCCTTTGGGTTGGCAGTTCAGCTCCTTTCCGCTGGGTCACCAGAGCTTCCTGTCTGCAGGGCAGCAGAAGGGAACTGGGGTTAAGACAAGAAGCCTAGTGGGTGGGTTCCAAGTTGTCCCAGACCTGTGAGCATCTGGCCTCACCCCATCACAGGATGGAGAAGCTGGGCCTGCATCCTGTTGTAAACCAGGTATAGTTTGGACAGCTTCTGGGTCTGTGTGACCAGATCAGTTTCGTGCTGGGAGAGCAAGGCCCTCCCTGGGTTTGGAGGTGGGGGGGATGACATCCTCTCAGTGGAGCCCAGGCTTACCTGTCATATACGTGTGCACCCACACAGGCCAAGAGGGCCTCCCCATGTACAAGTGCGTGCCCTACAGCCCAGTGATGGAGGTGCTGCCCTACTTGTCTGCTGTGCCCGGGAGAACAGTGGCATCACGAAGGGGATCCAGTTGGAGTGGCAGCTGTTACGGCAGGAGCTCCAGCAGAGACGATACCTGGGCAGCTTCTTCTACAACCCAGCCTAGCGCCTTGCAGAAGACCTCACCTGTCAGCACTGCTACCAGCCGAGGACCTTCCCCAGTAGTCATGGTCAGGCTATCGGGGCCTCAGATTGATTTAAGACTGGATCTGGGATGGTCCCAGGCCTGACAGAACCTCTACGGCTTTCGTCTTCTGATTTTGTGACTGTTATTATCGTGAGTGCTGATTGTGGATCCAAGTAAAATGAAATGATGACAACTTTAGTCTTTTCTCTATCATGCTGTTGCCTACTAGTCCAGTTGTTGTTAGATGCCATTAGATCAGATCTAACTCAATGTGCACCTTCCAGTAGGTTTTCAGAGGCAGTATCCCACCGAAGGAGATGACTCATCTTTTTTTCTGCACATCAGCTGATGGATTTGAACTGTGTGCCTTTGGGTTGGCACTGAAACTCCTTAGCATTAGTCCACCAGTGCTCTCTAATATTTCACTGATGAGGCTTTTTGTTCTCTTGATGTTTTAAGATCTAACCTCAATTTGAAGGCTATCGTCTTTTATTTTCTGCAGCAAATGCTTAAAACCTTTGTCATTCTTTGAAAGCAAAGTTTTTCATCTATATAGTGCAGGTTGTTGATGAGTCTTCCTCCAATCTTGATACCACATTTATCTTCATGGAGTTCAACTTCTTGAATGATTTGCTCAGCATACAGTTTGGATAGGCATGGAGAAAAGACAAATCCCTGGCACACACCATTTCCTGATTTTAAGCCAGGCAGTGTTTCCTGTTCCATTATTTGTAAATGGTCAAAGTATTGTTCATATTAATGGGATATGACAAAAGGGATATGAAGTATTTTTGTATTTTAGAATATGCATCCCCTATGTTTATTGGCTCATGGAAAAAAAAAACACCTGTTAATTTTATTATGCACTACTCTTCAAGAATGTGGCATTAAGTAGTAAAATGATTGCTATGCCCTGAAATCTGAGACTAGAGGTGGGGCAACACCACAATGACATCAAGGGACAAAATCAAAGACAGAAAGAGTAGGTCACAGCAGAACAGCAACAAAGACTCATACCAAGTGGCTAAGTTGTGTAAGATCATCATGATTATGACCGAATTATAGCAGGAACTGGAACTGAATGATTTGGGAATGCAGCTAGCTATCAGAGTTCTAAACAAAACAGGACAAATAAGGAGGAAAAAAGTGAAATGATAAGAATCTCAAAGGAGCAGAAGTCTTTGGAAAAGAGTCAAAAGAGGAAATCGGCAAGTTCTGGAATCAAATGGACAATGCCAACCAGAGAGCTAGACTCCTGATAAGAGAAAGGGAGAAGGAAAGACTTTGTTACTGTTGTTGCTAAGTACCTCGGAGCTGGCTTGACTCACTGTGGCCCTGTGTACAGTGGAGCCAGAGGTTGCCTGGCCTTGTGTCTCCAGCTCGTGATTGTTATCTCTGAGTTTATTGTTAGGGCCACTGTGTTAATCCATCTTGTTGCAAGATAAAACTTTCAGAAAAGTTTCAAACAAAGTTTTGGGGCGAGCAGTGGGGTGTTAGCTGGTGAAAGTCAGAAAAAAATAGTAAGGGCAGATTCTGAGAGAATTGGGAAGGAGTGTACCTAATGTCTCTGGTTTCCTGAGACCGAGACCTAGGCCCAATCCAAGTGATACGATCACCAACAAAGCAAGAAGAACCTGCCAAAAAAGAAAGAAAAGGGAGTTTTACTTGGTTTTAATATATGCTTTATTATTTATATATGCTTTTGTGTTTTAATATAGAGAGGCAAATTACTATTCTCATTAATAAAATAGCAAGTACTCAAAGCATACTATTGATTCAGAATACAAGATGCATCAATGACATATGTTTCTTCTGAGGTCTGAAAGTAATAAAGAAGATTTTAAAATACCATTTTCAAATGGTATAAAAGATTTTAAAATATCTTTTTTAAATACCATTTATTACAGTTACTCAGAATACATTAATCCTAATGAGCTTAACTTCAGATTGATTTAAAGTAAGGATAAAACCACCAGAATCATTAACCTTTGCCCATTTTTCTTTCTTTACTAGGTATCTAATTGTTGTTACATGTCTTCAACTATGACCCATAGTGATCCAAGGAGCAGTGGCCTTGCCCTGTCCTGAGCCAACCTCGCCATCTCTGACACACTCAACTCCACTGCTGCAGTCATTGTATCAATTCCTCTCATCCAGGATCTTCCCTTCTGTGCTGATCCTCTATCCTTCTAAGCATCATGTCCTTCTCAAAGAACTGGTCTCTCATGGCAACATGCCCAAAGTATGTGATATGGAGCTTTGAAATTTTTACCTCAAAGGAGCAAACTAGTTTCACCCTCCCCAGTACAGATCTGTTTGTTCTCTTGGCAGTCCATAGTGTGTTTGATATTCTTCTGCATCACAACTCAAAGACACTGATCAGTTCTTCTTCTGTCATCTTCATCCTGTCATAGTCATTGCCCAGCTCTCAGACGCTTACCAAACAGTTGAGAAGACCATGTCCTGGATCACGTACATCACGTTAGCCTCTAAACTGACATTACTGCTCTTTAACACTCCAGAGAGATTCTTCACAGCATATTTTCCCAGTGCAACTCATCTTTTGATTTCCTGTTTGCTGGTGCCACAAGTGATGAAATCATTAACAACCTCAGTCCTCTCTCCACCTATCATAATCTATTTGGAGATCATTTATCTGAAAACATTAGAAAACTTGCAAACTGTATCATTTCTGTGTAAAAGTTTGCTTTCACTTTGCCCACCAGATAATAATGGGAATATTTAAACTATATCAGAATATATTGTACAAATAATTAACTGATAAGTAATCTACATTGACACACAGCTCAAATACAAAGCTCAGGGTTTTTTGGAACCTGACCAAAGATTGCCAGCTGTATTTAGTATCACTACTGCTGACAAAGTTAATTGGTGTGGTGGACTTTATGCTAGGACTAGAATTAAACTTTAATATGCTTAAAGAAAATTCTTCTCCCTGACCTCTTTCCCCATCCACTAAGTCTGAAGATAAACATGCTGAATGACAAGGTTTACAATTTGTAAATTGCCATTAAGAATAAGAATGGAACAGACACAAGCAATCAAATTAATTTCACAATGGCATTTTAAAATTATATTTCAAAAAATAATAACTTTGCTGATAGGAAACAAATCTCTCAGTTTATTACTATTTTCACAAATAATAAACCACATAAAGTATCTATTTGTTCTGTTTTTATTCTAAGAGTCAATTGGAAAATTAAAACATCTAACTTGGATGCCAGAAATCAATCCAGTGCTTTTGAAAATATGTTAAAATACTTTGGGGACAATTCTCATATGAAGTCTCAAAGTTATTCCAATGGTTAGAACTTTGATAATATTTATTATATAGAGACGATAGAGGGCGAAGATGAATAAAAATAGTTATTAAACTAAATAAAGTGAATATTGAACTAAAGTGAACTAAATGAGCCCCTCGTCATGCTGAGAAATCACAGATGAGAGACCAGAACTACAACAATGCAACAAAACAGCGTTTCAACAAACTAATGACTCAAACTTTCCTATTTCAAGTCTCTTTTGGGGTCCCATCACATGAGGATTCACAGACAGATTCATTGTCTTTCATTGTAGACAAGACGGAATTCTGCCACTTACAAACTCAGGAAATGAGTTAACATCTCTAAGCCCATTTTCTGTTTAAGGGTGACACAATATAGTTTGGGATATTAGTGTGGGTATTAAACAATGTATAAAGTACTAGCGCAAAGTAAGTAAATGGGGTAATTATGTGTCCAGATTATTGAGACCTATGTCATAGGGTCGCTATGAGTTGTCTACTTGACTGTATTAAACAACAACAACATATCATTCATGTTAAATTAATCAGGCATCCTGACATTGTATCTTAAATAAAGATAAAAGATTGAGACCCCTTGGCATTTTCCTATTATGTGGAATGGCAAAATAAAAATATTTTGGAACCCAAGAAATAAAAAAAAATTTATTTTTAAATAAACTAGTGTAAAAAAAATGTAAAATAGAGTATATATGAGTGACCGTATGAAACGTAATGTAAATGAAAGATTGTATAAAACAATGTATATGAATGAAACATCCTATGAAGATATTATTATATGAAAGTCAATTAAAAAATTACCAGTGGGGAAGGGGAAATATACAAGAACCTTTACTGCCTATAAAATGGGAAAAAAAAGCTGGGCACACACAGAGAACTAAAACCTACAGCCAAGAAAAAAGATAAGATCACCATAGAGACTAAGTAAG